CGCACGAACGAAAGGTGCCGGGGATTTTAGAATTTTTAGTTTTATATATATATATATATGGACTAATTCATTTAGTTTTTCCACCACTGTTTTAGTAGTTATCGAACACTGTGATAATCGATTATCTGACAGGAATGGTGTAATGTTGTAAGAGTCAGCGTGCAACTTTACTGGAGACGACCTTCGATCAAGGCACTTTCTAGACAGTTATTTCATAGTGAAATGTTTTCTCCTTTGATCAGAGTATCATTTCTTTATGTCAAAATTGTGGTCAGTCTCGTTGCTTTGAGCAACCAACACATTTCACGTATTGTTTCGTAAAATGTCCATTTTGTCTTCATATATTTTTTTTATTTAGATTCTTTGAGACTTCTCCTATGTATTTTTGTGATAATTATTGCAATAGATCGAGTAGATTCCTCCAACAGGTTTTAGTTTATAGTTTTGTTTAGTATTGACTAAGATTTTTAGATGCAAGAGTAACAAATTTTATGCCGAATCTATCTCGCTTTCGCTCTCTCTCTCTCTCTCTCTCTCTCTATATATATATATATATATATATATATATAGAAGTGAACATAGAAGTCAACACTTAGAGGCGACAGTCTGTTTCATGCTAGATGTAATCGTCAGGCCTTCAGGACTTCTATGTTCACTTTTATATTTACACAAGCTCTATCTCTGATATTGAGCACTTTATTCCATAAATATAGCACATCTTAAGACTATATTTCTTCATATATATATATATATATATATATATATATATAAAAGTGAACACAGAAGTCAACACTTACAGGCGACAGTTTGTTTCATGCTATATGCAATCGTCAGGACACTTTTATATTTACACACGCTCTATCTCTGATATTGAGCACTTTATCCCAAAAATATACCACACCTTAAGACTATATATATATATATATATATATATAGTGATACATCGTTTTCCCATTATTAAACAATAAAATCTTTCATATGCTTCTATCCAATTTCCGCATTCTGAAATCTTATTAAGACAAAAAATTGGTTTCACAATAAATGGAAGGAAATATATCCTATTACTCGAAAAATAAATCTGTAAAGATTTTATCCAAATTAAAATATTTTGCGAATTAAAAAAGCGACGTTCGGTATATGGAGTTGATTGAGTTTTCCGCCATTTTCAATTCAGCATCTGGGAAGCACCATTTGCGTCGGCCACTTAAAATCGTCAGTTGGAATGCACGTCTATTAAATTGAAGGAATATTAATGTTAAATTATTCGGATTTACGAATTTATGAAAAAATAAAAAGTTTGTCAAAATAAGAGACATATTTTAAATGTTTCGTGGAGGTCTTAACTATACTGTGTATTATATTTGACGAATACTGCGAAACTTAAAAATTTAATATATATTTTTAATGTATATAAACAAAACTGTTTTACCTATTCTACCATTTCATTTGATCACATCCAAAATGACTGAGCCTTACAAACACAACTGGTTGAAACACCGCTTCCCGTACGTTCAACGTTACGCGTGGTCAGTACCTTGATGGCTGAAAGCGTCGGAATATCAGGTGTTGACCATGTTCGCCAAGTCTATGAATATATATTATATATAATAATATATAATTACTCTCCAAGCTTAACAGAAGTATCGTGATGAAAAGGATATGTTCATCATTAATAAATCATAGCTAAGCATCGGCAGCTCATGAAGGATTGAAATTATGTTCATATATATATATATATATATATATATATATATATATATATATATATATTACAGGTTCATTTTCGAACTTACTTAAGATGACCTTCGTCCTCTCTAATCTTCTAAGTTTCCGTCCTGGAGTAACAATCTACCTCACACGTCTCACGTACGATTTAATTTTCAATTTTTTTTTTTATCACTCTTTTCACTATGATAGTTGAAACTTCTCTCTCACCTGCCGAACGTCTTATGAATGAATTGGATCTTTTATAATTATGTCTTTAGCTCTAAGTTAAAATGATGATCGTTCTTCCTGTTGTGACCTCTTTATCCAGTTTCACCTTTCTCTTGAGGGTTCCTGAATGCACTATGAAGATGGAACCCAGAGTATGAATATCGATACCATTACTGATGGCCTGAATGATCTTTTTTTCCTCTCATCTTTCCTCTCATCATTGTTCAGTAGGGCTGACACGAAATGATTTTAACCTGTTCTCTTTCTAGCTGAATAACGCAAAGACTTTTACCTTGATTCTAGCGACATATGGTGTCCTATCTGAACACCTGTAAAAAAGAAACATAATTACCTTAGTGTCTTTTTACTGCTTATAAACTTCAATTCGACCTTGTCTACCGAACGATTCTTTGTGGCCGATTGGTAAGGCACGTCAGCGTAAATGACGGTTCCGTATAGGATACAGGTTCGAATCCTGTCAAAGAACGAATATTTTCTATGAAAATTTCTCGGACATTCAGGCCGGTAAATGTTATTTAATACTGTTTATCATAAACAGAGCATTTACTTAAATACTTATATCTATAAAAAACAACGTTAAACATAAAAATGTCTTTAATGAATAAATTGTCGGACCTTGTCCATTTCTTAATATATATATGTATATTATATTATATATGTTAATATATATATATATACATAAATATATGTATATTAATATATATATATGTATAAATATTATATATATATATTATGTATATATATATTATATATACATTATATATATGAGTCAAGTCGTGACACACTGACGTTGTTTAAACTGGGGACTCGGGTGTTTACACTCGGGTCGTTCGTCTAAGCTGGTCTGAGTTAGTCATAGTCGGTCATACCACCGCTACGGAACAGTTGTTACGCAGCCGTGTGTGCTGGGGACTGTGCAAAACAAGAGATAAGCTCCCTGGAACGGAACAGTTACTACAACGGCAGTATCTAGTCCGACGAGAAAAACCCGTTTCCTTCTTCGGCCAATCCCTGCGGAAGACTCCGGGGGCCAGGCCTGCTAGCTACATTTCCAACCAGCTATCAATTCATAGTTGGCATTCTCGTTTTACTGATTGGTTTGGTTTGATTTGGTTTGCTTTACGGCATATCAACTTCAATGGTTTACATAATACCGACAAGATCATTACTGCTGGTAATATTTTTTCCTAAAAGTATTTCTGATAACACTTTCCCAAAAATATATTGCAGCAATACAAATAAATATTGCTGGCAATAATTTTTTTTGCAAATATGTATTGCTGGTATTAAAACCTATTTTTACACTTTCTTAGTGTTTTGACCCCAGTTTGTGGGCTAACAATTTGCCCCTAGCTGGGACCCTAGGCGGTGCTACCACCCCGGATCAGGGTGGGGCTGGGAACACCAGCAATTAAGAGGTGCCCCCATGTCCCTCAAAACCTCCGGATCAGAGGCCTTGCTGTAGGATATTGTTTTAAACGTCTTTCTCATGAGGCGGTTGTAGTTTATCGTCTTACCCAGGAGGCGGATGTAGGTTATCGTGTAACCCATGAGTTGGATGTAGTTTATAATAGTTGGATTTAGTCTTACCCAGGACACGGATGTAGTTTCTCGCCTTTCCCATGAGGCGGATGTAGTTTATCGTCATACCCAGGACCCGGATGTAGTTTATTGTCTTACCCAGGACGCGGATATAGGTTATCGTGTAACCCATGAGTTGGATGTAGTTTATCGTCTTACCCAAGACACGGATGTAGTTTCTAGCCTTTCCCATGAGGCGGATGTAGTTTATCGTCATACCCAGGACCCGGATGTAGTTTATTGTCTTACCCAGGACGCGGATATAGGTTATCGTGTAACCCATGAGTTGGATGTAGTTTATCGTCTTGCCCAGGACACGGATGTAGTTTCTCGCCTTTCCCATGAGGCGGATGTAGTTTATCGTCATACCCAGGACCCGGATGTAGTTTATCGTCTTACCCAGGACGCGGATGTAGGTTATCGTGTAACCCATGAGTTGGATGTAGTTTATCGCCTTACCCAGGACACGGATGTAGTTTCTCGCCTTTCCCATGAGGCGGATGTAGTTTATCGTCATACCCAGGAACCAGTTGTAGTTTATCGTCTTACCCAGGACGCGGATGTAGGTTATCGTGTAACCCATGAATTGGATGTAGTTTATCGTCTTACCTAGGACACGGATGTAATTTCTCGCATTTACCATGAGGCGGATGTAGTTTATCGTCATACCCAGGACCCGGATGTAGTTTATTGTCTTACCCAGGACGCGGATGTAGGTTATCGTGTAACCCATGAGTTGGATGTAGTTTATCGCCTTACCCAGGACACGGATGTAGTTTCTCGCCTTTCCCATGAGGCGGATGTAGTTTATCGTCATACCCAGGACACAGATGTAGTTTCTCGCCTTTCCCATGAGGCGGATGTAGTTTATCGTCATACCCAGGACCCGGATGTAGTTTATCGTCTTACCCAGGAGGAATTACTGGATGGCTGACATGGCTGAGGCGTCCCTGTCCTCACTGGTATTTAACGCACAGCTGTGGCTGGAAACAAGGCGGATTCACGCCGTTTCAAAATGTATTTACATGAAAGTGAATACCACGAACTCGACGGCTATTCGAAGTCGTGACTCGCTGATTAATCGTTTCGTGCTGCAAGCCAATAAATCTATCTGCAAGTCCGACATTACATAAAATCTCATCCCGCTGAAGATATATATTAGTTTCTCTACGTGAACGAATCTTTGGGATATGATGTTTATTCTGTTATGCCTTGTTAAATCACACGTCTTTCCCAAAGAACTTGCTTTGATCATTTACAAAACGCCGGTTCGACTGTAAGTTTTCTTCTAATTGCTGTGAAAAGTTTTTGAGAACCTTTGTGGATATAAGCCCTGATTCTTTCTATGATTGAGGGCAAAGTTTTGTAGAGGTTCCTATCAATCAGATATGTTTTATCTGTTCGTCATCAAGTCGAGTCAGTGCACAAAACCTTCGACGATATCTCCATAAATATTTGATGAGTCGATGCCAGACCAAAGCGTTGCTTGCAAATCTCATATCTCGGTTTATTTTTATCTAAACCTCTTTCTTTCTTTCTTTCTTTCTTTCTTTCTTTCTTTCTTTCTTTCTTTTATCTGAGCATATTTCTTTCTAACTCGGTTTCTTTCTTTCTTTCTTTCTTTCTTTCTTTCTTTCTATCTACTTCAGTTTTAATATTATCTATCTATGTTTTATCTGAGACTGTTTCTTTCTTTCTAAGTCGGTTTCTTCCTTTCTATCTATCTATCTATCTATCTACTTCAGGTTTAATATTATCTATCTATCTATGTTTGTATTTATCTTATTCTGCTTCTCTTTCTTTCTTTCTTTCTTTCTTTCTTTCTTTCTCGGTCTGTTTTTATCTAAGACTCTTTCTTTCTATCTTTTTTTTTTTTTTTTTTTTTTTAAGCATTTCACCCCAAGCAAGGGGTTACAGAAAATAGGAAGATCAGATAGGAGTGATAGAAGAAAGGATGAGGGTAGTAGATAGATTAAGGCAACTGGAGATGTCGATTGACATTACACTTGAATAGCTGGAGATTATAACTCTCAGGGAAACAGGAGAAGGGAAGAGAGTTCCACAGGCGAGACGTGCGAGACATGAAGCTATTAGAGTAGAAGAGACGGCTACATTTATGAGTTTCGACAGTGAAGGGGTGAGAGCGGGATGCGAGCCTCGTAGGGCGCTTGAACTCATGAAGTTTGGGAACCAGCGAATGCAGTTCCTCGGAGCAATTTCCATGAAAGTATTTGTAGAACAGACAGAGGGAGGCGACGGTGCGTCTGTGAGAAAGTGACTGTAGACGAGACGCCAGGGTAGGGCCAACCATATTACATATCCGCTTCTGGAGCCTATCAAGAACCCCTGAGGCAAACAGAAGGGGCGCCAGACCATATATGGCAGCAATACTCCATGCAAGGGCGAATTGTGGATTTGTATATCTGGAGGATCGACTCAGGGGAAAAAAACTTCCTAGCACGGCTCAGGGAGGCAACTTTCCTCGCAGTGGACGAGGCAATTGACTCGATGTATTTATTCCATCTCAGGTCAGCAGTCAACGTGAGACCGAGAAGCCGCAGAGAGTTGCTCTCGGGAAGTTGAGCGTCAGACATTATAATGGAGGGAAGGAAGGCTCTCTGTGGTGATTAATAGAGAGCAGTTTAGTCTTCGAAGCGTTGAAGTTGACCAGCCAAATCATGCCCCAGTTCACAATCGATTGGAGGTCCTTTTCGAGGCGCACGGCAAGGTGAGTTTTGTCAGCGAGACTGGATTTGTTTTGAGGCAGGAATAAATTGTGGTGTCATCCGCGTAGATGCCGACTTGAGAAGTTACGGCGTCAGGAAGGTCATTTATATAGATAAGGAATAGAGTGGGGCCTAGGATGGAGCCTTGAGGAACTCCTGCGTTCGTGGGGTAGGAACTGGAGGAGAATCCGTTGTGAACTACCTTCAATTCACGGTTTGACAGGAATGATTGTATTACGTTATATAATTGACCCGTAATGCCATAACCCTGGATCTTGCGGAGAAGGCCGGCGTGCCAAACCCTATCAAATGCTTTGGAGATATCTAGTGCCACGGCTCGGGCTTCCCCGTTATTTTGGAGAGTTCGGTAGACTGTTTCCGTGATGGCTGTGAGCACATCGGCTGTAGATCTGGCAAAGCGGAAACCATATTGCTTGTCTGAGAGCAGATTATTGGATGTGAGGTGGTTAACCACCCCGGTATTGATTAGAGCTTCGAAGATTTTGCCGAAGAGGGAAGGAGACTGATAGGACGGTAGTTGGAAGGGTCAGAGGGGTCGCCGGAGTTCTTGAAGACAGGAACGATCGAAGAGGACTTCCAGCAGTCAGGAAAACAAGATTCCTTGAGGCAGTAGTTGTATAGTTTCGAAAGGGCGGGTGCCAGTTCAGGCGCGCATTTCTTTAAGACAATGGCTGGTATGCCATCTCCACCACTCGCCTTGTTGAGATCTAAATTGGAGATAATGCCCAGTACCAAGGTTGGGGTTATGTTTAACCCACTCAATATGGCCTCAGTTCTAAGAGGAAAGTCGGGTATGGGTACACCAGAAGAGTCGAGCGTCGAGTTGGATGAAAATTTCCGAGCAAAGCATTCAGCCTTGTCGGTAGAGGAGGTCAAGTCTTCGAACTGGTTGAATAGAGGCGGTATAGAGGGTTTGCACTTATTCAATACACTCTTGCAGAGACGCCAATAATCTTTGGAGCCAAATTTGCGAGATGCAATACGTTCCTTCATTCGAGCCGCAAATAGTGACTTAGCATCATTTAGGACACGCTTACAATCGTTACGGGCGGCGGCAAAGAGACGTCTATTGCAGTCAGACATGTCGCTACGGTATAGGTGGAAGTAGTGGTTCCTATGGGCGATGGCGGCTGAGCAAGCAGCCGAAAACCAGGGGCAGGAGCGCGACTTAACCCTATATTTCCTTGATGGGATGAAAGCGTCGATTCCAGCTTTAACCCAGGAAGAGACCTCAGAAGCACATTCTTGGACGGGGAGCTTAAAGACTCCATCCCAGGGGACATCGCGGAGGAAATCACGGAACGCGTCCCAGTCAGCTCGTTGATAATAGAACGAAGTTCTAGTGGTAGGAGGTTCTTTATAGGGGTGGAGTTAAAGGAGATGTTAACCGATACTACTGCATGGTCAGAGTTACCAAGTGGGCATAGTTGCGAGGCGCTGCAGGATTCGGGGATGGAGGTAAAGCACAGGTCGAGTAGAGAGGCTTTACTTACCCGGTTGAGGGCAAAACAGTGGGGAAGTTAACTATCTGTGTGAGGGAATGGGAGATTGAAAAATTAAGCGTTTGAATGCCTGCATGATCAGTAGTAGCATTCTTAAGCCACAGAGTGTGATGGGCGTTAAAGTCTCCAAACACAAAAATGTGAGCAAACGGGTGGAGGAGAGAGCCTTGTCTATGTTGTCTGAAATGCTATCAAGTATCTCACAGTCTTGAGAGGATGGAGAGCGGTAAAGGAAGAAGAGATAGCTTACCGCATTGAGGAGAGAGAGACGGAGACACATGTATGACTGGTCAGGCGATTCAAGAGAGGACTCTCTGGCCAGGGGAGATGTTCCTTGACGTAGACACCAAGACCGTGCATGTGGGTTAGAGAGTCTTTTCTGAGGAGAGGAAGATAGCCGGGGATCGAGAGATCAGAAGAGGGGATAGATGAGACAAGGTTTGTCTCGCAGAGAGCCAGTACATCCGGGCCGTTTGCAGTGAGGAAAGATTCCAGACTGTAGAAGTTTGTTCTAATGCCCCGGATGTTGGAGAATGAAATGTTGAGGGGTTTAGGTGGTTTCTGAGATGCTGGTTTAGGGTAAATCTTTCGGTTTTTGTAACTCATGTTGGATTTATTTGCAAAGATGAGAAGGCCTGAGGTAAGAGAAAACAGACAGTTTCGACCGTGACGCGGGCAGAGAGGAGTTGGCAAAATCCGCATCAATATGTGGCCTCAGGGCTGCCCACCGGAGGTGACTGCAGGGACACCTTTCCACGCGCGACATGGCACTACAAACACCCCGGTATTATACAACTGTTGATCAGAGCAGCCGCTCAAGACGCTACGCAAGAGTTAGGGCTCCTAACTACCAGTCGGAAACAGCAACCAGAGAACTGTCAGCCGTGTACCCTCAGAATGAAGAGATGTTGCCACAGACTGCACGCATCACGGGAGAAACAGACCTGCACTAATACAGAGGCCGGAGAGAGAAGACAGTACCAGGAACCCCATCCTAGACAAGAAACAAGGTGTAAGTCTCTACTCATGTCCAATAGAAGGGGAGGAGGTTGACCGGGCGGTAGAAGGACTACCTACTCCTATTACAGATAACACAAAAAAAGGACGACACAAAACAGAGGGGAAGGATTGGAGGGGAGATAACAGGTAAGGAGTCCTGGTTCACAATTGGCTATACTCTGTCACATTAAGTTTTAACTTAGTATAAGTCCCATTGTCTATTCTAAAAAGAAATTGAAAATACGGTTACCCGGATTTATTATCACATCCAGTAGAAGACATTCAATTTTCCATTTTTCTAGTTTTTTACTTTGTTAACATTTCGGATCGGGATTCCTTACTAAATTATCAAATAAGTAGCATCATTGGGACAAAATGCCTTTCGGTAGGGAGGGAGGGGGAGGGAAAAATAAAAAATTTAAAAAACGGAAAAACGGAAAAAACAAAAAAAAAAAAAAAATTGAAAAATGTAAATGCAGTCAGCTCGAGCGAAACGATACTCACATGGGCCAACAAGTGGGTGACTGCCTACGTAGTCAGTTTTTTCTCCTATCTATCTATCTATCTATCTATGATTTTATCTGTGTCTCTTTCTTTCTTTCGTTCTATCTATCTATCTATCTATCTATCTATGATTTTATCTGTGTCTCTTTCTTTCTTTCGTTCTATCTATCTATCTATCTATCTATCTATCTATCTATCTATCTATGTTTTTATCTGAGTCTGTTTCTTTCTTTTTATCTATCTACCTACCTATCTATCTATCTATCTATCTATCTATCTATCTATCTATCTATCTATGTTTTTATCTGAGTCTCTTTCTATCTATCTATCTATCTATCTATCTATGTATCTATGTTTTTATCAGTCTCTTTCTTTCTATTTATCTATCTATCTATATTTTTATGTCTCTTTCTTTCTTTTTATCTATCTATCTATCTATCTATCTATCTATCTATCTATCTATCTATCTAAGTTTGTTTTTTCCTCTAAGCATGCTTCTTTCTATCTGGCGAGGTCTGTTTTATTCAAGCGTCTTTCTATCTAGGATTTTTTTTTTATCTTAGCCTGTTTCTATTTATCTAGGCTTGTTGTTATTTTAGCCTGTTTCTTCCTCTCTATCGAGGATAGTTTTTATCTAAGACTGTTTCTATCTATCTATCTATCTATCTATCTATCTATCTATCTATCTATGTCTGTGTTTATCTTGCTCTTTTTCTTTGTTTCTTTCTTTCTATCTAGGTTTGTTTTTATCTAAGACTGTTTCTATCTATCTATCTATCTATCTATCTATCTATCTCAATCTGTTCTTATCTATTTGCTTTTATAGTTATCAATATCAGCCTCTCATCTATCTATCTACCTATCTATCTATCTATCTATCTATCTATCTATCTATCTATCTCAGTCTGTTTTTATCTATCTATCTGCTCTTTTTCTGTTTCTTTCTTTCTATCTAGGTTTGTTTTTATCTAAGATTGTTTCTATCTATCTATCTATCTATCTATCTATCTATCTATCTATCTATCTATCGTGA